TTTTCGATCACATGCAACTAATTTACGTTGAATGAATAAGTAGTATGTAGATGGAAGGAACCATTACAATCGATCAACTTTTCCATTTTTTTTTTAATGAAAAAATTACATCTAATTATGATATTTCAAGTTGGATAGAACGCTCGAACATCGATGGATACGCCGTTCGTATCTAATCATAGAAGAATGTGGTTGAAATGAGAAATGACGACGTTCAAAAAGTATGGAGAAGAAAAGAAAAATGAACTGCCGCAATCATAATCAAAGTTAACCAACTCTAAAATTAGAGGTTTCATGAAAATTCCGACCATTTATTGTCCAAGCCTTTTCTAAAGCATACAAAATACCAATGACCCCTAAGCCGCCCTACCTCTCAATCGGAAAATCCAAATATTGGTTAGTTACCGGCCCAACGTGTAATTAACCTGTAAGTTTGATAAAAGTCAAAGTTCTTGTGAGATTTTTACTACGTGTCCCATACAGAAGAGAGTGAGAGACATGGGATTATTTTAGATTTTTTTCAGGTCATTTTCAAATATCGTTGACCGATTAATAATTCAACTGATTTTGATGAATCGTTTGTTTGTGACATAAATAGCTGTGCACGTCATGTGTCGAGAATTGAATTTTAAAAGATTCGATTGAATATATCAACGTCGATGATGAATAAGTGAATTGAAAAATATGCGGAACGCAACCAAATGAAAAAAAAAACCAGCCAACAAATGAAACTTTTTTGTGATGGCCTTTAGCACATTAGCGCAAGTTATTTGTTCACAGTGTGACTCATTGCAAATTGTCCGTGTGTGTTTATGTCGTGCGAATAATTCAAGACGATTTATCATCTACATTGTGTATTAATTAAATTCTCTGCGTTGGAATCGTTGAAATTGGCCACCGAGCATGCTCTTTAATTGTCCAACATTTATGATATAGTCGCTGTGGCGGCACATCTTTTCGAAAATGAATGTTGATTTTAAAATGCGTCGCATACAGAAGCAAGTGGCTTTAAGCAACACAATAAACAAACGATTATTCATTAGAAACGACAGACAGAGAGACATGTTGGGGCAGTAAAAGCCAGGTATAAATCAAGGCGTGCACAAATGAAAAGTAAATCGGTTAGCAGAGTCAAGACCAAGTTCAGCACAAACAGTATCAACAATCAGTTTTATTTTCTACGATCTGAATGAACAGTGTTTGCATCATATTTTTCCTTTGCAAGAGTAAACGAGCGGTGAATTCCCAGCTCAAGTCAGTGCGATTACGTAATAATAAAAAAGCAGCAGCAGCAGCACTTATATTTGATTCAATTTTCAGTATATAAATATTTTATTCAGTTCATTTATTCAGTTAATTTCATGCATAAAACACGTGTATTTATCTGTGTGCATTCGTGCGAAATTGTATAACAATCTGAAATGGATTCATATGTCTTCCATACGGTTTGAAATCATAAAATGGATTTTGATGATGTGTTTTTGTGTGTATTTTGCCGCATATTTTTCTATGGCCATTCGTTTGGCTGCTTGGTTTGATGTGTTTTTTTTTCTCGGTAAATACAGAGAGCAAGCTCACGACCTTATCACGGCAACAACCATGGAATGCACACCTTGATCGCATTATAAGCGGGATTGAATGCACTTGTTTACGTTAGAGACGTAAAGTTCACATGCTTCAAATTCATTTCAATAATAAATCGAATTGGTTTCAATCGGAATCGATTATATGTCAATTCAGTGATCGTGCATGTATTTGATTTTGAAACGATCAAATATGCCATTAATCAAATTGGATTTGAGCAGGCAGCGGTGAATGGTTTTGACGACCAACATTGTCGGAAGTGAAATAAACGCTTAGTTACACGATTAAAATTTCATTAAATTTGGCTAGCAGAGGCGGTTTAAGTGATTAATTGTCAAACTTGTTCCAATCTTTTATCTCTCTATGTCTCGTTAACGCATGACCATGGAAAAAGTTTAAATTCAAATATGAAAAAAATATTTCCTAATTGATGAAAAAAAAACAGCGATTACTATCAATTTGTATCTCATGTCATATTTTTAAAACTCGGTAATTTGAATTGTGTATGCATTTCCAGCAATTACAATCGAATTACAAAAAGAATAATAAATAATTGCACGTTAAACACAATCAGATAAAATAAATTACGACACATTGTGGATTCGTTATTTAACGCTTTTAAAACGAAGAGAACAGCGATTTGGACGATTTTCCATTTGAAAATGGCGTTCGAATGGTCATTTTCCAGCAAGTTTACTCGGTCAGAATTATCAAAGTACAAACAAAACCAGGACGAAAATATAACATTTGAATTTACACCGTTTGTTCGTTTGTAATTACAGAACATTTCGTTTTACAAGCGTTCAACTGAACAATTTTCGGTGATAAGACTTCGGAATTGGCTCCGCATTTCTTTTCTGCTATTTTTTCTTCGATCGAAAATTTCACAGTGGAAGAAAACTTATTAACTTAGGTCATGATTTTGAAGAAAAACAAACCATCATTACTATTGAATTGCGCTCTTTCAAGAGGCGTTTTGTTCAACTACAGCATATATGTTGAATATATTCAAGTGTTTTCTTTCCATTTTTTCTTTCAAGTATGTATTGTTTGTGTACAACATGACAACACAACGCATGAAAGACTCTCCAACGAAAAACACAGATCACTGAAATGAAGAAGTAAATGTGTTTCGTTCATTGTGCTGGAAAATGAAATGGTTTTCATTTGCTCAAGCTGTTTATGTTGCTCGATTCATTCGGATAGTACCAAAATTGGCCCGTCAAAATGAGTGTTAGACGTCATAAATGACTTCCTCAGATTCCATAATTTTCCATCTTTTGTCTGGACGGCATTCAAATGATGGTTGTCGAAACAAAAGGAAAAGCCATAATTATCGCATGGTTTTGTGCACTCATGGTTTTGTGTACCAAAATACAATACATCACACTTGAAAATGCTCAAGAATTAAAAAGTATCATAGACCAACTGGCCGACTGACTGACTGGCTGGTGTGTGACCATGCAATCAAGAGTGACCAAAAATCACTCTGAAATATGAATTCAAACGATTTTTTTTTTAAACAGCTATCTCATCAATTGATGCAAAAAATCGTTCGTTAAGCCGATGATTGATGATGATGTAGTTCGATATCTCAGGCGTGAATGCTAATAGAATGTGTGCTAAACCAATTCCGAGTTAAATTTTTGGTTATAATTTCAAATGGAAATACAAACACACACTCACTTCATCTGTAAATCAATGCTGCGTATTTTGATTTCATTTTTTTTTACTTTGATCATTTTTGATCATTTCACATGGACTTCAGGGCAAACGTTTTCTTTCACACTAACAATCATTGTTAGTTTTATCGCCGATGCCTCTTGATTTGTATTTCTTTCATCATTTCTCTCTCTCTCTCTGGGTGTGTGTGTCTGGTTTTTTTTTCTTTCGAGACCATGATCTCGCTCTCCGCACACTGTGTGTTCGGTTTCAGTGTGTCAGTGAATGGTACCAATGGCAGAAAAAAAATGGTTTGGGTGTTATTAAACCGTATATCGAAGTGAAAAGTGTTTTATTTACGGTGGATATTCGTATAATAGTTTGTTGTTGCTGCTGCACACGTTGCGTTAGATAATGGAATTCAACGAGATGCGATATGCTTGAAAAGTGAAAGAGAAATGAATATATGGAGCGATTTGTGGGTAATAGATTGTGACCGACAGCTATTCATGCGATTGGTTACAATTTTTACAAATTAATAGAAAGAAGAAAAAACAGCACCAATTTTGAAATGTATCAATTGAGCGGGGCCAACTTTTTTTACAACAAAATGAGCAACACGACATATCACTTTCCATCTCACTAAAATGATGAAGCCAGAGGCAAAGTGAAATGTCGACGACATTTTGTAACTTTTAGATGACAATTGTGCCCGCGCACATGCTTCGTAATTAATTACAATTATAGTCATTCGCGAAAAAAAAAAAACAGCAAAATTTGAAGAAACAAAATGACGATTGCCGTTGGCTGCTGAATACGTTGAATTGATGTCATGGAAATTGATAGAGTCGTTGAAAAAGCCGATTATTTAGCAAAGCGAAGCCCAGTAAACGGTTTTTAAATGTTGTAACTTTGTGTATTTTTTCCCCTGTTGATCATTGCTATTATTCAAGCACATTGTTTGCAATCGTTTTGACGAGCACCGGTCGAATAACACACACAAAAAGATTATAAACTACCGCAAAATTCCATCTAAAACCGAACCGCAGTTGGTTTTGCTGAGAAGAATAGGAAATGTGAAAAAAAACACTGAAATGCTTCTTTGAAGCTGTTTATGTCTTTTGTTTTTTTTCAATGCGTTATGTGAGTGACGTGCTTATATGTTTTTATTCACACTAAGCGGTAATCAAGCATTTTCGCATTAAGCATATTTTTGTGCTCGGTGTGAAGGTCGATCGTTCAGTGCGTGTGCACAGGTTCACATTCGCGTACGTGTTAGCATAGCGCTCAAATGTTTGATGCCATTTATTTGTTAGTCACTTGGCCAACGCCGCCAAGATGATTAATGCGACAATGAGCCAAGCGGATTTTTTGTTTCTTGATCGCAATCATTGAATTCAATTAAAACGTTCACTCCGTCCAACCGCAAATATGCTAAACACTGTCATTTTCTACGTTCTATTACACACACACTGGCGCCACGCACAATTGCAACATGATTTTGTATCGGTTGTGTGCACGTGGGGGCCATGGATATGACGAAATTGATGTTTAAAATTGTAGTTCCTGTTCAAGCGCCAATTTTAGCAACCAATCATTTGAGCGACTTTACAACGATCATTCTCTCCTTTTGTTGCTCAAGTTTATTGATCTTTTGCCGTTGTTGTACTCTTGCCATCAATCATTTATATCGGAAATATAGGTGCTTTTGTTGGTTAATGTTACCTATTTGGTTTTTTCTCTTTTCATTTCAGCACACATCAACATGTATCGTACGCAAATTGTGGTCATATTGCTTGTAGCATATAGCTTTCAGCCGATCATAACACTGCCTCAAGGCGCTCCAGATTCGGTGTGCCATTCGCTGTTACCATTCCATGGGGGCGGCATTTTGCCATCTTCATCACGACCACCGTATCGAATAGTGCCACACAATGTGGCCGTCAATCAAGGCCAAATCCTTCGTGTCGAAATCGAACCACAAATACCGGAACTCACATTCGGTGGTTTTATGATTCATGCACGAAATATCAATCCACCATATCAAGTGGTGAGTATCAATGATCAAATTGACTTTCAATTTTACTTTCAATCTTAAACTTTTATTCTGACTTTTAATTTGAGTTATCGAATTTTAAGGTTCGATTTTTGCCTAAAACTTCATAAATTTAATCACATTTGCATTTTCTTCAGGTTGGCCGATTTGCGCCGCCAGCTGACAACCAAGCCAAACTTATCAACTGTGGTGGTTTTGACAACACTGCTACACACACATCACCATCACCAAAATCGGGTATTTCACTGCAATGGCAAGCACCATCGGACTTTTTGGGTGATATTGTGTTCAAGTAAGTAAAGATTTTTTTCTTGTTTCTTTTTTTCTACGCAAAAATATGGGGAAACCCCACTATTCTTGTTCTGATTCAATTATCTCTGAATACATTCAGAGGTACATTCTTTTGTTGCTGGGATTCAAAATTTGGATTAGTCATGTTCTGAGAGATATTTTCCGGATTGCTCGCGGGTTTCGAAAAACCTGTTCCTTTTTGTTACTCAAAAATAGTTTTATTTTCACTCCTTACGTTAGAAATTCAACGTTATTTTTAACTTAAAATACAAATATTTTTTTTTTCTTCATCTAACAAATAGTGCTACAGTTGCTCAAGAATATGCCAAGTTTTGGGTTGGTATCGAATCGCCTGTGATCAATGTTATTTCCCGAAATGTTCCAGTACCAGCGTATGGCCGACCAGTGAGCCCATCAACCAGACGGCCACCATACAAGGAAGCCATTCCCAACTATGTTCCAATCAGCAATGATCAATATGTAAGTCAATCAATATTAAAAATTGAAAGCAATGCGACTAACATCGAACCCATTCAAATCTAGGAACGTCAATTTGATCCAATCTATGAAGGATGCGGTGAAACGAAATCATGCTTTGGCTTCCCAGATGGTTGTGTCGATTCAAAATCATGTCAAACGGTTGCCACGTCAATTGTTCGTGGCGAACGGTATGAATTTGAAATTAAATCGAGTCCAAGAGATAATCCAGCCTACGTGGCGGTTGCATTGTCCAATGATGACAAAATGGGTGACGATTCGGTGATGGAATGTGTTCCAGAAGCTGGCCAAATTCGTGCATACACATCTTGGACAATGCCACGTCCAAATCTTGGCGTTACGCGTCAAGGAGTTGTATGTGAATTTTTTGCAATTTGATCCAATTATTAGTTGACAATTGATTGCATTTATTAAATTCCAACGATTTTATTCGATTTCAGCCACAAAATATGATCCGTCTTTTGGATGCCTCGTATGTCGATGGTGTGATTTACTGTCGAATTTTGCGTGAACCACGAACAAATATCCTCGGCAATAACTTCGATTTGATAAATAACAAATACCACTTGTTGGTTGCATCGGGTAGCAGTTTGAAACGTAAGTTTTTCAAAATCTCTACATCGCCACAATATTTCTTATCAAATTGGATTTCAATACAGCAAACAGTGTTGGCTATCACGATATTGGACGCATTGCATCTGGATCTCCAAGCTATTTAGCCGATGTCGGTGTTTTCGGTGGAGCTTCAAAGTTATTCTTACGCTTGCATGCTGCATTTATGATAACTGCATGGATTGGAACGGCTTCGATTGGCATTTTGCTAGCACGTTACTTCAAACAAACGTGGGTCGGAAGCCAGTTGTGCGGCAAGGATCAATGGTTTGCTGTAAGTGTCACAAGAGAGAAGAAAAAAAAAATACAAACGTTCAAATTAAATTATGCCATCTCATTTTAGTGGCATCGAATGTTCATGATCCTAACATGGGCATTGACAATAGCTGCATTTGTGTTGATTTTCGTTGAACTTGGTGCCTGGTCAGCCGAAGATAATCCACATGCTATTCTTGGAACGATAACAACAATTGTTTGTTTCCTGCAACCATTCGGCGCTTTATTCCGTCCAGCTCCAACTTCCAGCAAACGTCCCATCTTCAATTGGCTCCATTGGCTTGGTGGCAATGTTGCACACATTCTTGCAAGTAAGTCTGCTGTTCATAGACATTATCTCCAGCATAATCAAAACCATATTCGTTCAATCATTAAATTTTTTTTTTTTCATTTCCTAGTTGTGACGATCTTCTTTGCCGTGAAATTGACTAAAGCCGAACTCCCAAGTTGGTTCGATTGGATTCTCGTTGCATTCGTTGCCTTCCATGTGATCGTTCATTTGGTGCTTTCGGTGAGTTCACTGAAATCCATACATTGCACGCTTTTATCGCTTTTTCATGCATTTGCTGGGCAAAGTTCTTCAAAATCATATCAGAGAAACCATTTTTTTTGGATCTATCAATGCGAAGAATACCAAGTACATGTATGACGAATTCATACACCATTCTTGAAATGGCTTGAATTCACGGATGTAAACCATTAGCTTTTGCGCAAGTTTTTTTTTTGTCAAAATCAATTAATATTAGCGAAAAACTAATGGTTGCCATCCCTTTTTGTACATAAATGTTTGTGTTGTTCTGAATGTGGCTTGCTTTTGCTTTTCTACTTTCCACACTGTATTTTGTCCTCGTGTTTATAATCATACATTTCCATGTCTTTCAATTTTTCAATGGTTAATTTTGTTACTAATCACCCTATCCCTCTACCAATCATCTGATACATGCACCAATGTCCAAATGTAATTATCATTAGATTTTCTCTTGGATTCAGATTTGTGGCTGTGTCAGCGAACGAAGCGCTCAACGTGTCAACAATTTCCCAATGGCTGATATGTCACCATCCCGAAGCAGTATGAAAGAGCGCAAATTGGATGCACCGGTAAGCGACTTGCATCGATTGGAATGTTCAAACCTCTTTATTCTCAAACTCATCATCATTGTCAATTTGGTCATGAATTAATTTTCTTGATTTATTTTTCTCTTTACAGTTCTCGGGATTGCGTAAAATCATTCTCACGATTTATTTAGTCATTGTGATAATGTTCGTGGTGGTTCTCGTATTGATTGCTGTATTCGCACCAATTCAAGATGCCATTAAATCACTGCAAAATATGAGTGAAAACTAGTTCTAGCCATAAACAAAACAAAAACAAAACAATCGTAAATGCATAGTAAACATGTATACACTACTAGATCAGATATGATATTATCGGTTTAGATTCGCTGCAAGAATGAACAATAGCTTTACAAACAAAAAACCCAGCAGCAGTAACAGAAGACATGGCAAGCGACACCATTGAAATGAGTCGCATATTTATTTCTAAATAATGATACACCGAAACTAGAACAAAGACCTGTAGTCCGTATACCGCATATTATTTTACTATGTCTCTATCTTTTTCTGTCTGCATATCTCTCAATCACTTTCTCTTTTTTTTTTTTTAAATCATTGTCCATGGGACATCATTTACTATTTTGAAATGTGCGGTCGTCGTCTCGAATATGTTTGACTGAATGAAAGGATTTTTTTTTGTGTGAAAGCAATGTGTGCGTGAGTGAATGTAGTTGATCGAAGAATTTATTGTGTGCTATATTTTTCACCGTCCAAGCAAAAGCTAACTTATAACCAAAATGCACGAATAAATTCATTTTAAGGACGACTTTAGCTTTTGTATATGTGTAATATTCTAATTGTAAATTTAGAACAAAATAAAAACTATTTAAATAATGCAATGAATCATTTCACACATTCGTTCATTGACGAGAAATGAACGTGATGAAAGACGCTAAAATATACAGGACACTAGAAACTACGAGAAATATATGTGTAACATAAAATCAAGTTGTTTTATTTATTTTTTTCTAGTTTGATCATTGAAGGAAGCGGATTTAAAGAGGTAAGATGGTTATTTACAAAAAAAAATTAAAGTTGATTGCAGTCATCGATCGAATGGAGACCGTTCACAATTCGACATATTCTAATGAAGACCAAACCGTCCAATTCTTTGAAATCCATTTTTAATTTTATGATAAATGACAATTGATATTCTAAAAACCGAGTACTATTTCGATGGAAGCGAAATTGACCAATATTTGATTATTGAAGAACTCAGCCGTACAAAGAATAAGCGCAAATGATAAAAAAAAAATGTTTAATCTCGAACGACTTCAATTCTTTCGTCACTCATTTTCAATATTATTCTTCCAATAAAATCAAAGTGCCTAAAACGTTTTTTCAATGTGAAAATTCTTTCGAATGATTCAAGAAAAGACAAAGATGACATAATCACAAATATTCAGGGAACAACAATGTTTATTGATGAAATTTAGTTTTATTTTGCATTAGCATTTCAGTATGAACATCCTTTGAATAGCTTCTTCATAAATTTGCATCAATAATGTTAGGTATACAGGTGGGCGAAATCGCTATATACTCTCTTACTCAATCATTTTTAAAATGAGTAAGTTTCGACCTACTCTCATACTCATTAATACTATGAGTGACTACTCTTTGAGTAAGAGAGTATATACTCAGAGTAATTACTCTTTGATTTTGAGCATGTCTCGACATACTCATTTTTTTGTGAGTTGAACCGGTGTAATTTGACAAGTGACCGTTCATCGTGACGTTGCTCCAGTTCATGGCTCATGTGATGGCAAATGCAATTCAATTGCGTTGGCGCAAAAATATTTGCAATATGATAAATACACTTGTCAACATCCTGGAAGAATGCGATCCTGGAAGAAATATCATTGAATTCAAAATGTTGTTGAGTTAATTCTTTTTATATTTCTATTGGTAAAATAATAAACAAGGAGAGTCAAATATAAGGCTCACCAACAAGTAGTTTATCGTTACAATCTTTTGCTGTGTCCTTTCGACAAACGTTTTCATAATTAACACATCGGTCAATAAGTCCCGAGCCTAAGTAGGAAAACAACATTTTTTTGCCAAAATTCAATTTTATTCATCAACATAGTCCCCTTTTAGAGTGATACAATCATTCCAACGCCTTTCTAGCTTTTCGATACCAGTTTTGTAGAACGATTTGTCCTTGGCCTCAAAATAGGCTTCAGTTTCGGCAATCACCTCCTCATTCGAGCCATATCTTTTTCCCTGGAGCATTTTTTTGAGATCGGCAAAAAGCCAGTAGTCACTGGGGGCCAGATCTGGAGAATAAGCCGGGTGGGGAAGCAATTCAAAGCCCAATTCATGCAGTTTGGCCATCGTAACCATCGACTTGTGACACGGTGCATTGTCTTGGTGAAAGAGCACTTTTTTCCTTGCCATATGAGGCCTTTTTTTGGCGATTTCCTTCTTCAAACGCGTTAGCAATGCTATGTAATATTCACTATTGATGGTTCTTCCCTTTTCAAGATAGTCGATGAATATTATTCCGTGCGCATCCCAAAATACTGAGGCCATAACCTTGCCAGCTGACTTTTGTGTTTTTGGGCGCTTTGGTCGACTTCCACCGGCTTCTGTCCATTCAGCTGACTGCCGATTTGACTCCGGAGTGAAATGGTGGACCCAGGTTTTGTCCATGGTCACATAACGACGCAGAAACTCGTTCGGATTGCGCTTAAAAATGGTCAAACAGCTCTCCGAATCATCGACACGATTTTGTTTTTGTTCCGGTGTCAACAAACGCGGCACCCATTTCGAACACAGCTTTCTCATGCCCAAATGATCATGCAAAATTGTGTACACACTGCCTTTTGATATCTTTAGGATGTCAGCTATCTCCTGCAATTTCAGTTTGCGGTCGGCCATAATCATTTTGTTGATTTTTGTGATGTTTTCTGGAATAACTGCCTCATTTGGCCTACCAGAGCGTTCAGCATCATCGGTGTCCGTACGACCACGTTTGAAATCGGCAAACCATCGTTTGATGGTTGCAATTGATGGAGCAGAGCCCGGGTAACACTTTTGAAGCCATTCCTCAGCCTGAACGGTATTTTTACCCATTAAATAGCAATGATAAATCAACACACGAAATTGCTTTGAATCCATTGTTTTGAAAATTACAAAAGTAGCGTCACTTAAACCACTGTAACTAGGTAAATAATAGTCCAAATGTCATGAAATTTTGACAGTAATCTTTTGAAGGTTGGTACTTTCGAAAAATCATGTGGATATTTCATTAGTGGCGCCATACGGTGGTTAGGCTCGGGACTTATTGACCGATGTGTTAAACTCATACATTTCAGGTCTCTCTCATTTCAACGAAAACTGATTTCCTTATTCAATTATTTCCAAAAACAAAAATAGACTCTTTTTTTTTTGCTAAACTCAAAGAAAAACATCGGAGTAAATCATACATGAATGAAGAAGGTGTGTTTTGATATGTGATAATCGTAAACTTGTTGTAAAAAATTGTAGCAAAATACGCATAGCAATCATGAAAATGAAAATTGATAAAGAGCCTAATCGAGCTTTGTACATTCATTGGATGACATCAAACTGTGTAAAATAAGAGCGAAAAAGACTAATTGGTCTTATCACGTTATTTCTGACACATTTTAAGGTGTGTTTTTGGCATTCGGGCTTTATCAGTTATTGTTTTGGCTGTTGATTTCAAAATTAAACCGATTCCTATCAGACGATAACTTGGGTTGCATAAGCGCAGGCGCTTTCATTCTAACCAAATGTTCTATTTCATCGAAAATCTTGGTGGATTTCTTGCTATACCGTCTAAATAATCTTGTCAAAAAGTAAATTTGGCAGATTATTACATTTATTTCAATTTTATTGATTTTTTTCTCTAAAATTCAAGTGGTGAAAAAAAGATTGGAAAATATTTGAACATGAAGCATCTCCGAACCAAAGACCGAAGAGATTAGTGAACAAAGTACGTGAATCGAGTGTATGTGTGTACGCGACATTCAATACACAAACGTCATTGTTGACGTTTCAACAGTGTGCGTAGTTATAATATTGGCAACTGGCTAGCATAACGAAAACGAAACAAATATTTTAGATTGAAGCCGTCTGTGTGTTTCGACATTTGATTCGCTGTGTTCTAGGGGCAAACAATCTATTTTAACATTTTCAACAACTTGAACCTCAATTTATTTTGATATTATCCCAATTTAGTTTTTTCTCCAATTAAAATTTAGACCTTGATATTAAATCATCCGATAAAATGTTATCAATTTTGGGACAGGTACGTACATTGAACTACTTTTTTTTGTAATGCCAAACTTTCTTATTTTGATGATGTGGGTACAAAGTTCAAAACATAAGAAACACTCGTTTTTTTTACCGTAATATTTTCATTTATTGACATAACAGTTCAAGCCGAGAAAAAAGTGTAAATCTTTGTGATTTATTTCGTGCTGGTGTCGTGCAAATGAATATTTCAGAGACATTTTTTTTGCTGAAATTAACTCAAACAAAATCACTTTTATTTGCATGAATTTACATTGATTTTAGTCCAACAATAAATATGACGGCTTTGTAACAACTTGCACTTTTTTTGTGCACACATCAAAAACCTATGTGAAACAACAAAGAAAAATGCTGCTTCGAAACAAATCGATTGCGACATCTGATTAGAATATGTTACAAAACAAAAAAAAACAGAAATTCTCAATTTAATTCTTTTCTCTCCGTATTAATAGATTTTACGTCAAAACACTCGAGTGATCTCTCGTTTGACCAAAGTTCAATGTGCAAACTCGGTGCGAAGCATATCGTTCGAGTTGAGCGACGAGCAAAAAGAGTTCCAAGATGTTGCGCGTAAATTTACACGCGAAGAAATCGTGCCGAATGCACCGAAATACGATAAAACCGGTGAATATCCATGGGATATTATAAAGAAGGCTCATGCCATCGGGCTGCTCAACAGCCACATTCCAGAGGAGGTGGGTGGATTGGGATTGGATGTGATGACTGGTTGTATTATTGCCGAAGAGCTGGCCTACGGTTGTACTGGTATTAAAACTGCATTGGAAGGCAGTGGATTGGGTGTAAGTATGACGAATGATTTAATTTTGATAACAGTCGTTCGGGCTTTGCTACGGCATCACGCTGAATACATTTTTTTCCTTTGATACAAATACGACAAATGTCAAATTTACGCTACAACGATTTTCTTCTCTCTTCTGCAGCAAATGCCAGTCATTATTTCCGGTAATCCGGAACAACACAAGAAATATTTGGGTCGTTTAATCGAAGAACCACTTATGGCTGGCTATTGTGTTACGGAACCGGGTGCTGGATCTGATGTCAGCGGCATCAAAACAAATGCTGTGAAAAAAGGCGACGAATACATTTTGAACGGACAAAAGATGTGGATCACCAATGGTGGTGTTGCCAATTGGTATTTTTTGTTGGCCCGTACAAACCCAGATCCAAAATGCCCGACTGGAAAAGCATTCACCGGCTTTATTGTTGAACGTGAATGGGAAGGTGTGACACCAGGAAGAAAGGTATGTTCGACCTGCTGTGCTAGGCTCTAGTAGTCCATTATTTCCATTTAAACGTTGATTGCTTTCTCTTTTCTTGCTGCTTGAAATTTCTTTGTTTTGATAATTTCAAAATTTTCATCCCAAAATGAAGGAAATCAACATGGGTCAAAGAGCATCTGACACTCGTGGCATCACCTTCGAAGATGTCCGAATTCCAAAGGAGAATGTGTTGGGCAAAGAAGGTGATGGTTTCAAAATTGCCATGAACACATTCGATAAGACACGACCACCCGTTGCGGCTGGCGCCATCGGCCTGGCACAACGAGCTTTGGATGAAGCATTGAAATATGCTCTTGAACGCAAAACATTCGGAACACCAATTGTTAACCATCAAGCGGTGGCATTCATGTTGGCGGATATGGCAATCGGTATTGAAACGGCCCGTTTGGCCATGTACAAATCGGCTTGGGAAACAGATAACGGTAAACGTAACAGCTACACTGCTTCCATCGCCAAATGTTATGCATCTGAAATTGCTAATAAAATCGCTAGCGACGCTGTGCAAATATTCGGTGGTAATGGATTCAATACAGAGTATCCGGTGGAGAAACTGATGCGTGACGCAAAAATCTATCAAATCTACGAAGGAACATCACAAATTCAACGAATGATCATATCGCGTGCTTTAATCGATGCTGCCAAATCGAAGGCGTGAATCTGCGACCATTTTAACGATTTCAATCATGCTATATTTTTATAAAAGAATTGTAAACACCCAGTTGTATGGTACCATTCGCTCTAAACGTAATTGTTGAGAGTTAATATATTTAATAAAGATTTTTAAAAAATATACCAAATGCTTCGAAGACAATTAACTCACGTAATTTTCCATCTGTTCAATTATAATCCCGTTCGAAAACCTGAACAATTTTTTTTTTTTTAGAAAAAACACGGTTTATTTGAAATTTTGGCGTTTACATTCTTTTATGAATAATGATGATAAATGATTAAGAATTTGAATGCGTGTTATCTGTTGAAAATGCGCCAGAATACTCTCGAATGTCACATGAAAGAGATTTTGTTGTTGGTGCAAATCAATCATGCTACAAAAATTGATGATTTTACTCCAAATTTATGCAATGTTTGTTGGACAAATTAAATTATGATAAAATTTAAGAAAAACAACTGTGTTTTTTTTTCTCTTTCAATGAACTTTCATGTGTTTCAAAAATTCCAGTTGCGCCTTTGCTTCGAGTTTGGCTAAATTTTGGACGATTGGTTTCAATTGTTCCACGTGATCTTGGTAATTGGTTCCTTTGTTCTGTAATTTCTCTCCGTAAACGACTTTTCCATCGAATTCGTTCACTGGCACCTGCATATTTTTATCAACCTGTGTAATCGTGATGTTGAGATGGTCTTCGACTTCAGCAAGCATCTGGCGATAAGAAACATTTCGATTAAAATTCGTGAATGGAAATAAAAGGATCAAGAGATTTTACATTTTTCTCGTTGAGCCATGTGCAGCATCCCTTCGGGTGGTCAGTGATCAAATTGGTATTCCAACAGTTGCGACCGCGTGACGAACACCATTCGCCATGATACCAAACCTTCTCTGGCACACTCGAAACCAAACTGATTGCAAGACCCATGCGTTCGGCTCGACCAACACGACCGATTCGATGGACGTAGTTTGACTTTTCATCGGGCAATGTGATGTTAATCACTGCAGAACAAAACGTAAATGTAAATTTGCGGAATTTTTTTTTTTTTTTTCATCAAAAACCAATTCAATCACTTACTGAATGGCAATCCGGAGATATCGATACCTCGGGCCGCTACATCGGTACAGATTAAAAATTTGCGCTCCTTATTTTTGAACATTTCCAAGTTTTGCTTCCGTTCTTGTGGCTTTCGGTCACCGTGCAAGCACACGCATGAGTAATTTGCAGCGTCAACTTGTCGCAAGTATCGCTCTAAATTATCGCAGTCCAATTTTGTTCGGCAAAATATGAGGGCTCTATGGGAGAAGGGAAGAAATGTCGTAGTTTAATTATCGATTAAAATTTTCAACTTTGGAAAATTTCAAAAAAATAAACTCCACTACTTACCGATCCATTTTGTGTTCGTTGATGGCCTGAACGCAATAGTCACCTTTTAGCATTTTTATCGCTTCCGAGAATGTTTCCGGTGTGTTGAGCCCAGGTCGAACACCATCTTTTGCATGCACACCATCAGTTTGGATGTGACGACGTAAATTGTGCCAAGTGGTGTCTTTCTGTGGATCAACGACACAAACCACATGATGAACGGTTTCGGGTACAGCATCCTCACCCTTCAAATCGATCCAAGTGGGAAAGTGCATCAGTTTCTCAGCCATTTTCTTCACTTCAAACGAATGCAACGTGGCACTGCACACAATCATTTGCAAGCGTTGCAAATCGCTAGTGATTTTCGGTATTCTCTTATGAATATTCTCAATTAAATTGCCATAGTTGGCTTTAAGCAATCCATCAGCTTCATCCAGTACAAAAAATCGGCAATGTGTTAGCAATATTTGTTCAGAGTTGATGAATTCTTCGAGTCGACCGGGTGTTGCAACAATAATATCGACACCATTTTTCAGTGCTTCCATTTGTTCACGAATCGGTACCTTTCCAATGACCAGCAGCTCTTTGATGTGCGGTTCTTTGAGATATTTTTTAAACTTATGAATTTGTTCGAGTGTTTGTTCGGCCAATTCTCGTGATGGTTCAATGATTATTGCATGCGGTGCGTTTGGTTTTGGTTGAAGCGGTTGCTGTGACTGTGATTGACTCGCTGAATTTGCCTTAATGTTCTTTGGCTCCACCTTTGAACAGGCAACATACCCTTGTGGTGCATTGTACTTGAACGGTGCATCGCCAAAATTGAACAAAATCTCAGCATTTTTCAAAACAACAGCCGGGTAGAAGGTCTCATTTCGTAAATTATCGTTTATACGAAAAGCCACTCCAAGGCTAACGCCATTTTTCAGATACGAAATTTCATTTCGTTCGAAATCAAGCAAACAAGTCAGCACATCATTTTTGCCAAAGGCTTCGCCGTAGTCGTCAAACTGGCGATTGTGTGACTTTTTACCGGTGCCACCAAAGCCAAAACTAAAGCGATCTGTTCCTAAGTCTAAAGTAGCCGATTGAGTTGACCAACCGACACGACACAATCCTTCATCGCAAATTATTGCTTCGAAAAAGTATTTGCCTCGATTTCTAACACCAGCCGTTGCACGGCATCCGTGCCAGTCTTTGAACTCACGACTTTGACACCGTAAACCATCCGGTGCTATTGCCATCGCGTTGCCTCGATCATACACGGACATTTTCCAGGTTAGTTCACTGCTGCTACCACCACTGACCGGCGCATTTTTATTCTTGCCATCACGAATATCGCGCAGCGTTTCCCAAACGGTTTGTAGAATGGGCAGACAAAATGCTCCCGTTTTTCCACTTCCAGTTTCAGCTGCCATCAAAACATCACCGCCGCCAAGAATCAATGGAATCGCTTCGGCTTGCACGTCAGTCGGTAGTCTGAAAATAAAATGAATTTCGAAAAGTTTTTTGGCATAAATAAATGTGATTCTTTTTTGGGAATAACAACGTTGGATTATAATTGATTTTTTCAGACTTACGTCCATTCCATTTCCTCCACAGCCTTGGCAATTTCAGGCATAACGCCGAATTCTGAAAGAATACAAACATTCCGAAAGGTTAGCTGAGTTGTATGCCGATTTTACACATAAAAACATATGAACATTTACCTTCAAAGGCTGTCATCGTTACACAAATACTTTCGTCACTTTAATTTGAGACAATATTTAATCAATAAACACTGGAATAAATGGAATTGCTCGATTCGTTGCTCCTCTTTGAGGTGGATGTCGCAAAAAACAAGTGGATTCGATGCGGCAAATTTCTACGTGATTTTCGTTGACGCAACATTCGTACATTCGTGCAATGACAGAGAGAATAAAGTGTTTGTTCCGTTGGCCATATACAGATGGCGGCACGTGTATAGTATCAGTTTGACATTGTTCATGACATTTGAATCCACTTAGATATTATCGGAAATTCAAACTCAATTGAAATATTGAAAACAATCGGACAGAGTGAATTTACAGCAAAAAAAGCATCTGAGAGAAGAAGAAAAGGTAAGAGTTTTCATTGGTTTATGTAACTTGAAGATCAATCGTTAACTTTTTTTGCTTCTTTCCACAATTTTCAAGACAAAAAGTTGAAATATGAGTGCAGCACACGAAGACAGCGGATTCGATATTATAAATTGGACAGATGAAGCGGCCACAGTGATAAGCGATGTAAAAGGTCACGTTCGACAGATTTCCATATCAACCACTTTGCCATCAACTGAACTCGAGATTTACCTAAATTGTGAAACATTAGAAGCGAAAAAGTTCACCATTCGACTGTCCAGCGATGGATTTCGAATTGTTAGCAACACATTCGACCAAATCGACGATTTAAATGGATTCCCATATGAAACACCATATGCACTATTGAATGAACTTAGTCCAGCTTACACCAATTCCTTTGGCAACGAACTTAGCAGAGCATTGTCTAATCTTGAAGGAAGATGTGATTAATCCATTTTTAATACCAAAAATTTGAACCATTCAAACTCGCGACAATTTTTTACATACGCTTTTTCATACGATGAATTTTAGTTTTATAATGTGATTGATTGTATTGGAACGTTATTAAGATAAATAAAATGGTTCAGATGACTAAAGCCGAAACCCAAATCAATGCTGTGTGAAAAATCAGAAAAAAAGAATGAAAAGAATTCCTAAAAGTGAAATGGCTAAGTCATCGATGACATCTTTTCCAGCATGTACCAATTGTTTCACTTGGACCATTGGGCAATGTTTACATTAGAACTGGAGGATCTCATCAACATCGCTTGACTCAGGTTGACTGTTGCAAAGCGAGTATACCCAAAACATTAGTTGAATGGAAAAAAGATGTGATTTTGCGTTTCCATACCAAGAGTCAAAGTTACTTCGAAGAGTTTTGATTGAAACAATGATAAAATTAAATTTTTCATTCATAAACATTTGATATGCGAGTACTCTTTGTATCTGTATAAATTTTACTACGCATTTCGAAATGTTATGATCAATTTTTGCCTCCCCTTTTCATATACATATCATTTTAAATGAAAATATCAATTTAATCAATCACTTCCATATAATTTAAATAAAACACCATTTCTCTTCTTTTTTCAAATATAGTTTCATTGACATTTTCTATAAATAAAATTTTATTAAAAATATCTGCAAAAAAAAAAAAAATTAAATAAATTGGAAGAAAGATATGCTCATTTGTCGGTATACTTAAAAATTGCTTTAAATAAAACTATTTTACATTCGTTCATTTCATTCTTCTTCTCCTTCTTCATTTTTATCAGTACAAATAAATTGAGTTGAGATTTCCTAGTTGCAGTTCGTTAAAGTTCTGTTGTAGTCTCGGCTTCGGAACGATCCAAACCGTTCAAGTACATAAAATTGAAGTCATTATAGTCACGTTTGCTAAACGTAACATTTTCATTGCATCGAGAATGATTCTGACCGTCAAGAATCCTGTGTTTGAACAATAAAAGAACGTCAAGAATTATTCAATTGTTAGCAATCTCGGAAAGATACTTGAAATTTTGAATGGAAAATTGAAACAAAAAAAAAACAGTAAACAAAAATGCGTTGATTGCATCAAATACCTTGAGTAATAGTTTGACACTGGCGATACGTCATGCATATTATCCTGAAAACTAAGTCTCGATCCCATCATTCGAGACGCTTCAAATTGAGCGGGTGGCGATGCTGGTATCCGATTATTTCGCCCGAGCGTATTGAAATTATTTTCATAGGTTCGTTCAGTATGATTTGATCCATAACTGCAATCATCATGGAAATGATATACATTCAGTGGCGTACGAAAAAAAAACTGGTGGAAAAAATTGCAACTTACCCATACTGACTGCTATTTCTATGTGGCTTAATTCTTCCTAATGTGAGTGAACCTATGTTTAAGTGATCATTAATGGCATTTGGTGCAATGGCATTCGATTGCAGTCGCATGTTTCGGCTTAATGTGCTCTCCTCATGCATATTCGGGTGATTGTTCATATTGCGTTGTACTGTCGACATTCCTGCTGTTGTCGCTGACGAATGGGTTGGGCTATTTCCGCCTGGTGATGAAAAATAGAAAACAATCGAAAAAAAAACATAAATTATTAGACTCAATCAAGTTACGACATGTGATCAAAGGAATGTATCTCACCATTTTTCTTATGTGTAATATAGCTGACGTTGTCTAAATTAAATGCATGATTCTTTGAGCTAAAATCCAATTGTAGATCGTCGACTTCGTCATTGTTGACGGCCATTGCGAGCACTTGAGTTTCGTACTCTTTCAACTGTGACTGTGTGTCGCTGTGCTGTGAATTCGGCCGACTGCTCACCATCATCGTGTTCATGGTGTCATAATTTTTGATGCTTGACGTTGTATTTATCGAAGCGGCTGTGTATTGTCTCATGCTTTGTTTGAAATTTGTGTACTTCGCCCACGATCTGCACATGTAGATGATGCCGAATAGGCCAAAAATCAAAATGAGCAAAGCAACTGCGATCAGTGTGTATGGGAAAACGTCACTTTTAACAATGACCGCCGTTTTTGTCTTTTTTATTTGATCATCACCACCAGCAACGGGACTGAAAATGCCCTGGGCCGTGGCACGGGCAATATTCGATGCTTCGTAATTGATGTCAGTTTGAGCAATTTTCTCGAAGAATTGCGATTGGATGAGTGCATCGTTTCGATCCAAAATTTTCTCCGTTTTCGGATCGATGATATAGAACCAAACATCCGTTGCGTCTGGGTTTTCCTCCATCAAACCATTATCATTCAAATATTGTCGATTGCTAAAACCTTCGATCATTACAATGTTTCCATGGGATTTCTCCGCCAGCAATTGCTTCAGCGAGTTGGAGTGGACGCGCAACGATTTTGGTGGTAAGTCCGAAAAAGCAAGTGCCAACCGATTGGCATCGGTTAAAAAGTTTATCACAATTCGAGCTTTAGTTCGTTTCGTTTTCTCGTCCATCAAATCGCCATTATTGTCAATTGCCTCGGTGAAAAAGATCAGCGGTAGTTTTTGAACGGATTTCAAGCTGCGTTGCACTTTCAACACACCGGTATCTTCAGCAATAACAAAGTAACTGCTTGGTTTCGAGGAATCATTCAATGAACTGTCATCGAAGATGCGATACTTGATTTTTCCATAATCGCCCGAATCCTTATCGATCGCCTTCACTTGAAGGATTGACATATCGATAAAAGCTTCCGGCTGCACTGTCGCATAATAAGTGTTATTTTTGGCATTCGGACCCAAGCTCGACTCAATTATAAACTCTGGAGCGTTATCGTTTTCATCCAACACGGCAATGGTGATTTTTGCTAAATTTTTCATCGGATTAATGTAATACTTTTCCGATGATATCGTCACTGTTAACTCGTATTGCTTTTTAATTTCATAGTCTAATGGCTTTCTCAAGCTGATAACGCACGAGTTTTGAATCAACGTAGCAACGAACGTTTCACTTTCATCTCCATGCGTTACTTCGCATTTTAAACGCAAATTTTGCTTTCGAACGTTGTCAATGTTTGCAATTTCTAGGAATTTTATGGTCGAATTCACACGAATCGCTTCGGAAATGCTGCATTTATAGGCGTCCATTGAGAAACCAACATCAATCATTTCGGTGTGTCCCAAGTTAATCGGAGCCGATTCTTTGTTATAATAAACGGTATTGTTTACTGCCTGATCGTCATTGTTCATGTGTCGCACAAATACCGTCAACGATGTGATGGCGGCCAATTGTGGTTCGCCCAAATCATAAGCGCGTACATCGATTTGATATTCCGTGTCATCGTCTTTGCTGAGCAGCTCTTTGATTTTAATGACCGCACTTTCCGAATCGATTTGGAAGTAAGCCAATGCTTTACCACGGCCAACGATTTCATAGCGCACGGCATTGCCTGGATACGAGCCATCGCCATCGGTAGCTTTAACTTCGGCCACTTCACTGCCAATCACCTGATCGTCATTCAATGTTATTGGTCCCAAAATATGCGTAAACACTGGAGTCACATCATTTCGATCCTCGACCATAACAACAACGCGTACAAAATCGCCCGTTTGATTTCCCACATTTTCAAGTGTACCAATGATCAATTCATGCTTTTTATCGGCTTCATAATCTAAATTACGGATTGTCTTCACTTCACCAGTTTTTGCATCTACTTTAAATAGATCGCTGCGACCGTCACGTAACGCATATGTGATTTGCTTCACCGAATCCGGATCGACGGCTTTAACCGTGGTCAAATGATAATTTGGTATATTTTCGGGTACTTTCACTTCGATCAAGGTATCGGTGAATGTTGGCACCTCATCGGGTATGTCATTGACGCGAACTGTCACCATTGTCGTACCGATTCGCGGTTCAGTAGCTCCATCCTTTGCCGTAATCATAAATTTATACATGGATTTGGTTTCGTAATCGAGTTTCACTTTTGTTCGAATTTCACCGGTCGACGCGTTGATTTTGAACGGTACATCTTCGGGCAAATAGTATGACACTTTTGCATTGATCCCTTCGTCGGCATCGTGCGCATGAACAAAACCAACAAAGCCATTTTCACGGCCTTCATCCACCACAAACACGTACGGATTCATTTGATCATCGAATTCGGGATTTTTGTCATTGATATCGGTCACCTTAATGTTAATGGTGGCACTGCTCGACAAACCGCCCGTGTCTTCAGCACGAATTATCAATTGATAACGCGTTAAATCTTCACGATCCAATTTCCTACTGACCGTTATGATACCATTGTCATGCATGCTAAATTGCCGCAAATCATCACCGGACACAATCGTATACGAAATGGTTTCATTCTCCGGATCTTCAGCATGAACATTTACAACGGACGAATTAATTTCAGCACCCTCACTAATTTGCACTTCATAAACTGGTTTTGTGAATTTAGGCGGTCGCAAATTTGGACCAGGTGTTACATAAACTTCGACAATCGTTTGTGATGACAGCTGACCGATGTCTGTCGCTTGAACCGTGATGCTATAGTGTTCACCCGATACCAATTTGCCTTTGGTTTCAATCACACCGGTTTTTTCATTGATCATAAATTTATTCATTCCATTGTTTGACACGTGATAGATTGAATAGGTGATCACTGCATTTTCACCTTCATCATTGTCGGTTGCTGTGATTTGAGCGACGAAACGTCGGTTTTCACCAGCCTTCACATTAACCGGATCGTACATTTGGAATTTGGGTGCGTTATCATTCTTATCGATCAACGTTACTGTCATACTAAGCGGTGCACTGGCCGCATTTGAAGCTGCTTCACGAGCTACCAATTGAAATCGATACACACCCGGATTGGGTGGATCACGATCTAAACCTTCCTCGTTGACGGTCAAATAACCAGATTTCGAAATGAGGAACGATGGCGTTGTTAATTCAAAAATATACTCTGGCTTTGGATCGGCCGTATTTAAATCTTCATCGGTGATTGAAAATAAGATGGGTTTGCCGTTTGCGTTCAACACTTTCGTTCCAATCGATGAGTTTTCATCAACAAAACCGACAACAGCTGTTGCATTAATCACCGGTGGACTCGTGTCCATTTTCTTCACTTTAATGGTTAATTTGGCTATTGTGAAGCGCTTCTGTGGCGAAACCTCTTCAGCCTTAACCACAATTTCAAATTCATTTGCCACATTTGCCTCGACTACTTTGATATGCTTTAGAATGCCCGTACTTTCATCGATGGCAAAATACTCGTTATAGTTTGATGGCGATCCTTTTGCAAACGAATATCGAATCGGTGCACTGATCGTATCTAAATCTACGGCTTGAATACGTTCCGGGTGAACGGGTAGAACACCTTGCAGCACACCAACCGAAACCGATGCCGTATACTCGGGATTTATACAGGCGCCGTCAAGTAGAACACATCCACTGCAAAAAGAACAAGTAGTGAACGAATTTAGTTCGAGTTTTATTTTGATTCCTATGGTATTTTATCATAGAAGATTCGTTTTGATAGAGAAGAAGAAAAGGAAAGCTTCTTCGGGCAGAAAAAAAATTCTTCGAGCAAACAAAATTCTTGAAGTGATACATACCCATAGATAAAAGATGGATCCAAGTCATCGGAATCTTGAACATTTATCACAACCGTTGACGTTGCCGTCATTCGTTCTGACACATTTCGCGCTCGGTCCTATTGAAAGAAGCAAAAGAAATGGAGATTCCATTGAGTACTCATTTGATAAAGACTACCTAATGCTTTTTAAACATCGACTAAAGGTCGAATTTGCGAAAAAAGATCGAATTTTTGACAAAAGTTCTAAGAATTTAAGAGAAAAATTCAAATTTCAGGAAAGAAATTTATGATTTTCATTCTAAAAACGTTAAATTTTGCAAAAATCTTCGAAATTCATTCGAAAATCGACGTATATTTCCCGTTCATCACATTCGACACATACCGATGCAATGACGGTTAAATAGTATTTCTGTGTTCGTTCATAGTCTAGGCTTTTTGATAAGGTAATTTGACCCTGATGTGGAAACGGAATGGAAAAAATGCCATATCCATCGTTTGCTGTGAGCGTAACTTCGCTGGTGTAATTGTTCGTGCCTTCGATGATAAAATATTCGACTAATCCATTGACGCCAGCATCAATATCTTTTGCAGAAAGATCCTTGAAAACGGTCGTTCCAATTTGGGTCGACTGAAAAGAAATTCGTCGTGATGGCGAAACAAAAACCATAACATTTCAATTATGAAATTCAACACATAAAAAAGCGGTTGTTAGGCAAAGAGCTATAATCAATGCCAAAACAATACAACAAAACAGTGAACAATCGAAATGGATTTGCATCGGGGAAGAAAGAACAAAAAAAAAAGAAGTACCTCGGGCACTGTTGTTTCGTACGGTGTATTTTGAAATACTGGAGCGTTATCATTGATATCGGACACGCGCACTATAACTGGAATATTTCGTTTTCGTCTTGATGATCGGATTGTGCATGAGACCTAGAAACAAAATGGTGTGCAATTCAAATAAACCCAAACGAAATTTCCATTATTAGCATGTTTTTTCTGTGGTTGTTTCCATTGCGGAAAATCGAGTGCAGACACAAATGTTTACCTGAAATATAATATGACTAAGGTTTTCAGCATCACGGTCAAGTGGCTGCAGTAGTTGCAATGATTTGCCATTGAGCAAGAATATTGGATTGCCTTTGGCAAAGTTCAATTCTAATGCGATTTCCGTGTATGGATCACCGAAAATGGGTAGCTCGGGCGGAGTTGTACGTTGATCGATGACTGGTGGAAGCGAATGGCCGATTTATTTTCGGTTCAAGCGGTGTTTGATTGTGATGGTGTTGATGGCACAGACAGGATTCGGTTGATTTATGTGTGAACGACATTCGAAAACGAAAGACATGCAAATAAAAACAAAAGTGAAACGGAACAAATCGTAAATTAATGATATGAACCGGCGATATCTATTCAAAATAGCACTCTCGATCTTCGGTTTTCCTTCTTCTTCTCCTACTTATTCTTCTTTAAATCGAAGCGAAGATTGAAACGTGCAAAAAGAAAGCGAAACAAGTCAAATCAAATCAAAGCCACATTGAAATGGCATACAAAAAGTTGTAAAACTTACAATTTTCACGACTCTCCTCGATGTCTAAGATGATGTTCGTTTGGCCAGTTTCTACTTCGCATAGTTGATTTTTGGCCCATGTGCCAATCGTTGCTCTACATAATAGTATGTTTAGTGATACCAACAAAGCCAACCAATGAATCTAAAACGAAATGGAAATGAGAAGAGAGAAAAAGTGCGGACAGAGAGAGAGAGAGCGAGAGGAAGAGACAGAGAACAGACACGAAGAACATGAAGATAAATAAATTCGATTTGCATGTCAATTTGATTTTCACCCGGATTGAGAGCACAAAACAAAAATAGCCAAACACTTAATTACTGATATCGCCAATTTTATCGTTATTGTCATTTAAATCTTTCCACATGACAAAGAAAAAAAAATGATCAACCGCATGTACTACGCGAACAATTTGGATGGGATTTGTTTTTTTTTCTTAAATTCCCATTGAAGGTAAAGAAAATAAAACGAAAAAAAAATCTGAGAAAATATTAAGCTGAAAATTGAAACGAAGCAGAAAAAAAGCGAGTGAGCGGAAATGAAATCAGGTTGACACACAAAAATATACACAACAAAACAATATGTTTATTGAGAAAACTGAACACACAAAAAAATATGACAACAACAAACGACAATCGCAAGACAATCAGCATCGTCCAACGGAAGAAAAAAAAAGCACACACACGAACCCGAAAAAACGTAGACAATGAATTGAATAATTCATAAGATATGAAATATTATAATTTGTCATTTTCATTCGAATCAAGCAAAGATCTGTTCGGTGGGTAAGATTTTTTGTTGCAGAACCAAACCAAGAAATGATATACACTGGAGAGAAGAAGTGAAAAAAAGACACCAAGAATGAAAAACGACCATTTGCATTTGAATGTGCTCTGGACGAATGTGCGCATGGTGGCGGCGGCTTATTTTATGAACGAAACACACGAACAACACCAACAGCCACAACATAAACTGAACAGAGAGAGAGAGAGAGAGTGAAAAAAAAACAACACAATTTGATATTTACGTTTGTTTCGGTCGTCATTTCCAATTCTCAGCCGTTTTTATTTGTCTATTTTTGGTATGAAATTTTTCGACGATTAATTGCACATAAATTCCATGACATATTTCCTTCATTCTTTCTATTTCGGATTGTCGTTTGGACACAACCGAACAGTGCGCGCACACACACACACACACACACACAGAAGATAGAGAGTAATTCGTTCTTTTACAAAAACCATGTGCAAAAAATATCAATGATCATATAGCTCCTTTTTTGCTCCATCATTAAATGCAGAAAAAAAGTATTGCACACACAAAAATCACAGAAAACAGCACAACGGCAACAACTAACAACGAAAAAGAAAACTTCACGAGTTAAAAGAAACAATTATCGAAAAGCGAGGATTTTCATTAGCCATACACTTGTACGTGCACAAACTGTAAATGTTTGCAAGCCATTTGCAGCGAGAGAGCAAATAAATATGCTGTATATTACCACAATAAATTCGATCCGTTCGGAACGAGTTTGGGTTGGATGTGGCTGGTTGGAGAGTCACACAAGCGCGCGCGAATGTTGCTGTTGCGATCGAGAGAGTTTATAATGTAGCGGGATAAAGGAACGATTCAACTAGTTTTTACGCCAAGATCTTTTAACAAATTGAAAGTTAAAATAAAATCAAATGTGGTGTACAGCAACAATAAAAAGCGCAAAGCAGCGCAAGCACAATGCAAAAGATCAGCGTTATGCTCAGCGCGCGTACATACACAAGTGATGAAGAAAGAGAGCCCGAGAGATGAAAATAATAACCGCAACAGTTCTTGTGAGGTTGCAGCAAATCAATAACAATAATAACAATAAATCGAAAACCACAGCTCAAAATATCGAAAATTAAACGCGCAACCTCATAAATGGCTATTAAAGCAGTGTGGTTTTCTTCCTCTTCTTCTTCTTCTTCTTATTTTTTGCTCTTGCTGTCTTCTTAGTGTGCTTAATAATTGTATTTTTGTGTATAGTATAGGCGCGATATTGGCTCAATTTTTATGGTCACAATATTGATCGTGCATGTATTACGACGGGCATAAAGACAAAGAGCGACAGATACAGAGAGAAAGACAGAGCATTATCAAGAGTCACAGTCAAATTTCGTCACCCGAAGCCCGAAGGGAGACACCAAAAGAATTATTATGGCCAATGTTGGTTTGACATTCTGTTTATCTAGTTGTATGCGAAACAGATACACAATGATACACGCTCTATATGTGTGCGCATGTGTCTATGGAAAAGCTTTTGTATGACTGTGGCTAAAAGAGTAGGTGCCGATGGGCTGCAATATCCGCAACATCCGCATTTCGAATGAGGTGCAATAAAAAAAAGACAATGATAAAAAACAACCGTGCTCAGGCATCTTCGTTGGCCAACAACAACGACAAACGGCTTTCGAGATAATAATGCCTTTGACTTGATGGGTATATAGAGAAACGGGCTGTGCGCACAATTCAATTTTTTGTGTGATCATCTAACTCGATCCCACTATTTCTTTTTCTCTCTTCGTTCATTCGAAGAGCACGGTGACTGTAGCCACTGTGACTGAAGCCAATTAATCTGGATACCGCTTTTTGGCGTGACACCGCACTTTTAGCGGTAATTCAGTTTGGTGGACGCACAGCGTTTAAGTCATTCATTCAGCGCACTAGATTTTCGCGCATTCGATGAATCGGATTCGATTTAACTTTTTTCTTCTTCTTCTCGAAAACTATTCTTGTTTTTGGTATCTATCCACACACACAGCACTCACAATGTAGCTGTTCTCTTTAGCAATCGGTGTTTTTTTTTTTTGCTTCTTTACTCTACAATGTACATTCTCTCTGTTGTACCTTTCAGTTCAGATCGGTGGATTTGTTGTGTTTTGTTTTCATTCTTCAACATTTTCAGTTTTGCCGATACATTTTTTGTATTTCTGCTTCTTTTCATCGTATTTCATCTCGTTTGGTTTGCTTCATTCGAGTTTCTGTGCGCAGGAGAATGGATCGGTCGAGTACTCGCAAACGAACACTTGAAACAGCCAAAGCGGCAAGCACATTACACTATGCGATGCATTCTAGGTGCTTTTACATGTACAACACATCGTTGATACATATATACATATACTGACATAGACCCACATAGTAGAGCTGACAAAAAAGCGCACAACGCGCATATATGTGTATATGCATTAGGCATCGCGGGCTGGCTGACTGGCTGCTTCGATCGATCCAATACACGCATTTCTTGAATTGCCTTTCGCTTCGAGATAGTTTCTCTTTTTTTTCACCTCTCTATTCGCGTCCCGAAATATGCGGCGTGTGTTGTTGTTGTTGTTATTGTTGTTGTTGTTGTTGTTGTTGAAGAAGAAGGAAAAAAAACACACATCAAGAGAGAGAAGCTGAACAAGATGAAGTTGAGAAACACACACAGAACAAAAATACACGTATCGATTCAACCGAACGCGACACACAAAACACATAGGGCAACAGCAAACGAGCCCGAACGGAACGGAATGGAACGGAACGAAATACATCACGTAAATTGAATGCGCTCCCGCGTTCAAATTCAATTGCTGCTTTTCGACGATCCATTCTCCCATGAAATATTTAGTTTTATTAAGATTTTTGTCATTGTTATTGCTATATTGTTGGTTTGGGTCGCTTTTCATCATCACGTACATTTTTTGGGTTATTTCGCGGTGGTTGAGCTCTTAACGTGTCTCTCTCTCTCTCTGTGTGTGTGTGTGTGCGCGCGCAAGCGAAGCGTGCTTTTTCTCTAGTTCGCAACATTCTGCGGCTACTAGTCTCGAATTGAATGATACTTTACAATTACAATTAAATGGAGATTTTGAACGGCGTGAATATGCCTAGTATGTTGGTAACCGAAAAAAACAGCGACAAAAAGAAGTTTGAAGTGGAGCGAACAAAAAAAAATCGCGACTCAAATCAACCGCAAAAGAACGACAGCGCGGCGTGAACTAGAGAGTGAGAAACAGAATTGGAGTGCTGATACAGCATGAATCGAATAATGAAGAAGAGATTAAAAGAAAATTAAAAAGAAAAATGGCGATACATTTGCTTCAATTCAGTCAGTCAGCGAGTTGTGCACACACACACAGGCACACCGAGGCAGAGAGAGAGAGAGAGATAAAAAAAAGAGTCTAATGAGATCAAAGCCAATCGGGTACGTGATGCAAGGTAATGGTGTAATGTGACACTATCGAAAATTGAGTCGGTTCAAATTCGAAAATGTTAACGGAATTAAATCAAATGACACACATCCACACCGCATAACCACGTTCACTCAATCATCCACACAGCGACGCATGAACCAAAGGCAAAAAAAATATCCAATCTCTGTCTCTCTAACAATCATTAGGGCTAAATTATTATTGAAAGCGAGACTAGCAATTACACACAACAAGAAAGTGTATGGTTAACCATCGAAATTCGGTACGAATAATAAACTCCAATCACGACAACGATGACGACGAAGGAAACCAAAAGGCGAGAAAAAAAAAATCATATAATATTTCATATCTCGCGAACACCAAGAGAGAGAGAGAGAATATATCAACTAATATATTAACAACGAAAAAAAAGACAAAGGTACAGCGCGCACATTTACAGTTACAACGGCTGCGCTTTTGTATCGTTTAAAAACACCGTTCGTTCAATTTTTGTTGTTGTTGTGTTCGTTGTTGTTGCTGTTGCTCGTATGGATTCCATATTCATATAATATGTGAATTATGTGTGTTGCGGCTGCACCAATTAATGGAATAGCGAACACATAACTTGTTTTGTCTTGCCATCGCACATCGTATAAATGAAAACAGTGCAAAAATGTCACACGGATCGCAAAAAATTAAAATGAAGACAGAAAAAAAAAAACTGATCAGAACCAGCCAAGGCGAGAAGAAGAACGAAACACAACAAAAAAAAAAATCGCACACATCGCACAAACAATAATGCATCATGTGTATTTATGCGAACAAAACATGAACGAAACAAAACACAACAACAACAAATTATTGAGGCTAACTGTGTCTTTTGCAATTAGCACTCATTTGGCCGATGCACTAGTCTTGCGGAAAATTTACGCTTGTCGCGACAAAAAAAAAAAAAAATTAGGAAGCAAACAAATTACCATCAAGAAGAAGAAAAATGAAATATGACCAAATAAACAGGTAACGTGCCTTGATTCACACATGTACAAAGAGCGGTACAGACGAAACAAAAGAAGCGAAAAAGAAACTAAGCGAGATAATCGCTAGACGGACAAGAGATAAAATGGTCTAACACATATTGTTCGCCGTCATGATTAACATCGAAAATGTAAAAACCAGATATAGAGATAGAGTGAGAGAAATAAAAAGACAGACGTAATGTGATTTAATTCAAACAAACCTGTCGCAATTTTCGAACGGCACAGCATTTGATTTTCAATTCCATTTGGTATATGAATATAATCAGCAAACGTGCGCACTTTCGATGGCACTCGATTTACTTGTTTCTTTCCTTCTTTTTTTTTCTTCCAAATATACACACTCACTCACTTGCGTTTGCATTCGTTTGCAAATGCCGATGCACACTCGATGATTAAGCCCGGGAATTTGTGTTGTCAACTGTTTGTTTACGGTTTTTGGTAAGCATTTTATTCCGTTGTTAACCGAAATAAAAACCAAAATGTTATTTCCTGGTTGTAAGTCATTTACTTTTGGTTATTTTTTCGTTGATTTTGACAAAATTCAAGCGATGTGTATATTTCAAATGGGTTTGCTTTTCTCGTTACGAATGTTTGTGTATGTATTGAACGATCGATATGACACAGAAAATTATTTTTTCTCTTTTCGTTTCTCGTGAAAGCCTTACAAACGAAGCACTTAATACATAATAATTTATGAACAATATACACTTATGAAGGAATAATGGTGTGATTACAAAACAATAAATAGAAATGCACTTTGTTGTCGACAGAAAAGAGAAATAAACAAAAAATTACAGCGGCTGGTCTACATTTGACTGCACAATCACAAAACCACCCGACACTTCTATGGCTTCGATGAACCTATATCGCGCGACAATGTATGAGAGAGCAAACGTTAAAATACCACACACACGCACTGATAATTATGGTTCTTTAAAAAAAAAAAAATACAAAACACCAGTCAAACGAAGTAGGAAAAATTCAATTAAATGCCGAGATACACAAAACAAAAAAAACCAATTGCTGGTCAACCAAAAGTATGAATGATGTCGACGATGGTGATGATGGTAAAGTGTACGCGCATTGACACACACAGCGCGACCATTTATGTTCAACGAATAAACAAATGAACGAATCAAATAATTAAATAGATAAATACGATGGCAAAATAATGAAAAGAGCGTGAGCGCGGTATGTGAGAGAGATAGACACAGGCAAAACAAATGAACGGCCAAACAAAATATCCGTTATGCGGAAATACAGTTTTTCAAATGCACGATGAGATTGGTATCAGTCGTGCGCACTGTATGTGATGTATCTATGCCTCTATTTGCTCGTTGACTCTCGTCGTCGTCGTCATCGTCGTCGTCGTCGTCGTTTTTGTCGTTCGTCTCTGGTGGAGAGATGCTGTAGTTGCGCGCAACGTTCTACAATTCACTGAACACCAACCACTCAGTGTGTGAGCATGCCGAAGTAGGCTTCAGGCACCTGTTACACATGCAGAGAGAAAACAGCACACACAGAGAGCGAAAGAACGTACGATCACACTGGCAATAATCAAATAAAAACGGCACAACTGGCAAACACACAACTCAGCTCTTCGCGGGATCAACTCTCTAAGCCCGATTATAATGTCTTTTCCTGCGACCGCACTCAAAATGCTCAGCACTCCTCTATGCGAGAGAATGTTGTACAATGTGTGCACGAGCTGCAACGAAAAAAAAAACACACACGGTGCACAGGTATGGTTCAACTTGTTCCAACCTATCTATTTATATATAGATATACACTCATGCAATTTATATATAGATTTAGATCCACGTAGTATAAACTTGATGCGATTCCTTTTCGTTGCAAGAAATGCGCTCCAAAGCCCAATCACTCGAATGCAACAGCAAATTGTCGTATGTGTACCGCGATATATTCCTAATATACATATATATATATATATAAATTCATGTATCCACACTCGGAATAAGTCTCTGTTTTACTTTGCCAAGTTTAGCCGAATGTCGGTGCGCTTTATTTTTTTTAACATACGATACCAACGGTAGGCCATGCTCAACTGATTGAATTGTTTGTTTTTATTGTGCAGTCGACAGGTAAATTGAAGTTAAAACCCAAAACGACAACGATTTATTTTCATTCTCTCTTCTTTCTACACCACACACATTTGGTCCGTCTCTCTATCTGTATGTGTGTAGGTATGTATACGTCGATGTATGTGTTACAATATGCTTGAGCTATGTGCTCCATTTGTGTACGTGTGTATTGGTGAATGGCTTCAATTCTGCCGTGCACCACACAAGAGCCAGAGTTGGTCCACACTATTCGCCGTACACATTCGGCTTAGCGTTGAATTTCCTTCTGTCGCAAGATTTTGTGACCAACACTGAGCCAATACACTGCGATGTCGTTAAATGTCTCTCTCGATGGCTTTCCTTTACCATCGAGAAGTGAATGCGATGATCGCGCGCAGCGTAGCACAGGTCTCTTTCGAGATGATGATAATGGCAATAACAAAAATCGCTTTCGATGTATTTGTGTTGTACTCTTTATTGCTGCTGCTGCTGCTGCTGCTGTGGCGGCGTGGTATTGTGCAGAAGTCGGCAAGAAGAGTGCGAGCGACGAGAAGCGAATTAAAATGTATTACAAGCGGTCCGAAATGCAACGAAAAATTGAGTCGTGTGCGTGTGAAACATATTCCAAGCTTTTTTTTTTTATTCTTCTTCTCTTCTCCCGATTTTACACACAAGCCTAATGAGTCAGCATTCGTTCGTTCGTTCGTTGATTCGTTTAACACTCATACATTTACACGTTCAGCGTATGTGAATGCTTCGTGTTGCTTGTTCCTTTTTATGATCGTTCTGTTGTGTGTGTGTTTTTTTTTCATTGCAGTTGCTTTTGTTGTTGTTTTTGTTTGGGCTGTTTTGTTCCTCTGCTTCTTCTTTTTCTAATTTTCTTTACTTTTCGTTGATTATAATGTTAAAATGTAGTGAATATGTGTAGTAAGAGACGCAGTGAGTTACGAAAAAAAAATGGACTGGTCTAATGGTTAATGGACAAAATTATAGTGATCATCGATGCAGAGACGTGAAGCAAGACGGGAAAAAGGCATTTACGAGCAGCAACAACAATAATGACGACGGCCGTGGTGGTGGCGGTGAGCATGCAACGGCCAATGTATGTAAAAAAGACGATGATCTCAACCCATACGAAAATATCATGATGAAGAAGAAGAAGAAGTGAAGAAGAAATTGAGCAGAAGAGAGGGAGAGGGAGAGAGAGAGAGATGAAGAGAGATGAAAAAAACAGCACACACACACTCGCCATGCGATGCGAGTGGCTACCCTGAATTCCACAGGATCTGTGTGGCGTGTTGGTGTGTGCGCATGTTTCAGCGTATGTACTTGCTAAACATTACTCCAGTGCGATGGAGAGAAGAACAAGAATGAGAACACGATATCGATGCACTTTGCGAAAAAGATGAATAAATTCGTTGTGTGCTGTTTTATTTGTTATTTCCTTCCTTTTTTGTTATTTCTTCTGTTGCTGCTGCTGCTGCTGCTCGATTCGGCTGTTTTTTTGTTGTTGCTGTTTTCGTATGTTGTACTCCGTGCTGGATTTTGTGTTGGGCGAACAAGTTGTCTAACGTCGTTCTTGCTTGAATGGTATACTCTCCAAGATACTATTTTTATGCTCTCGCATATATATGCGCGCGGCATTCGACTCGTTTTTATAACATATTTCGAATATATGCAAATGCATTCACTTTGGAAACGAAACATAGCCGAGAATCAGCAACAACAACAACAACAACAAATCAACCGCAATTCGAATCGCATTGCATTACAATTTTTGTTGTTGTTGTTGTTGTTGTTGCCGCCCGTTGCAACATACCAGAATGCATTCATTCGATTGATATTGATTTATTTCGGAAAATTGAATCGTGTTAATCGTAAAACGTTTCGGTTTGCTGTGGTTGCTGTTGTTACTCGTTTGTTGTTGTAATTTTTTTCTATTCTCACATTGCCGTTAAACTAAAGCAGTTTGCGGTACGTAGAATTTCATTGAAAAAGAAACTACAATCCCAAAAAAAGTCATACACGCTCGATTCGTTAAGATTTTCGGATTGGGTATCATTCTCTATCGTCGGTGTGTGAGTGTGTGTGTGTGTGTTTTTTTTCTCTCTGCTGTTGTACTCTCGTATTTCGTGTTGGTTTCTTCATTTTGCTTGTTGCGCGCAACTATTGCTGAATTCCTCTAATACTGGGTTTTTATCTGCTCGACAAAAGGTACAGAGAAGCAAATACACGACTGAAGAAGAAAAAAAAAGAGCAAACGAGGGGAGCGATCAAGCAAGAGACGCGAATCGTTTAGCTTCGAAACACCGGCCACAAAACAGCATTTGCGATGAACACAAGATATTGGAACAGAGAATAAATATACAAAAAGACCCATGAAGTTGAGCACAGAATTAAATAAAGCGCAGAAATGGGCAAGCGCGCACAAGTGCTGGGGATCGAAGACACGCGCACGCGGGGACGGCAGAAGGAATTGCATGTGCGCGAGTGAGCACAGGTTGATTATTATTACAGCATACTCAAATATGTTATATATAGAAATGTATGTATCTTATAGATTTCAAGCCATGGCATTATTTAATAGAGGAGAGTAAGATAGAGAATCTGTAGAATGTGTTGGCTGCTTGCTGGCTTGCTTGCTTGAGTTTTTTTTTCCCTCTTCTGTTCTGTTCTCGTTAGCGTTCAAATGCGATAGATTGGTACACTTATTATTACGTGTACATGTACACCTTCAACATTTCACATTCTATTCTAGATCATTGAGCTTGTTTCGCTTTCCTGTAATTTTTTTCGTGGCTGTTGTTGTTGCTGCTATTCCTTTGCTGTGTTCTTTTTTCTTGTTGTAGTTGTTGTTATTAGTCTTGAGGGTTTTTTTTTCTTCCTCCTTCTCGATCATACTTTTTTTTTGATTATTTCGTTGTTGCTGATCAATTTTTACGTATCAATGTATGGCCACATACGTATATGTGTGTGTTATTCTTTTTTTTCATTATTTTTTTAATCTACAGTGGAATATTCTTGAGTCGGTTTCTTTTAAGGCTTCTAAATATTCTGTTCGTTCATATTTTTTTTTTCTTCAAATTTTTTGCAGAATGCCTGCAAACCAATAGAATTCAGTACAATGGACATTAATCCCATTTCACATGTTCCATAACTTGAATGGTAGACCTGTTCGGTGTGTTACAACAGAAATCATTCTGAACATTTCATATTTCCGGCAAAGATTGTATTCGGTTCGCCTGTCATTCTGCTGGTGTGAGCACTGAACGTTTGTTACTCACTTTTTTATGGTCTCGTTCGATGATGTATTTTTTTTCGTTCTGTTTTGTTTCTTTAGTTGTTCCATCTGTTCATTTGGTTCATTAGGCGAAATTCAATTGCGAATGGTTGGCGTATTTACACTGCCTTTTACTGTTGTCGTCGTTGCTGTTGTTGCTTCGCAAAAAAAGCGAAAGAATTCAACAGAAATTCAAAGCGTTTTCTAGTCGTAATTTTCAATTGCGTTCTCAAGTAGCAGAAGAAGAAGAAAAAAAAAAAAAACTCTATCAAATCGAATCTGTTCTCTTTTTTTCTGTATTATTCTACTGTTAAATTTCTTGTTTGGCCTTTCCTTTCTGTATGTGTATTTTTTGTATTCGAATTATTATTCTCTTGCGCGCGTAAAAACTGGTTACGACACAATGGTCATGAAGTGAGATCTCCGTTGCGCACAATTAGATAATTAAATCTTAATTTTCAATAACCATTTATATCGGCGCGCATTAAAGTTCTCCAAATTGTGTATCAAGCCAACAAACGGTATCTTTATTCGCTGAATGGTGTCATAAGTCTCGGCTTCTTTTTTGTGTATATATTTCGTTAGAGCGAAAATTGAGTTTCTATTTTGTTGTTAATTTTTTTTTTTTGCTGACTGACACATTGCTTCTCAATCGTTGCTGCTTTGGCCATTTACCGTCGAGAATAATTACTGCTAATCCGAAATTGACGTGAATTCTAATCCATTTTAGGTTTATTACCATTTTTTTCGCTCTTTCTTTTTAGCTGAACTATGATTTGCCGTTTTAATGGTCTTTAGCACACACACACACACACACACACACAAAAAAAAACATCCATTCGATGTGCACAATGTGTCGTTGTCGTAGCCGTCAACAGCATCAACATCATCAACATCATCATGGAGCGGTAACATTCTTCAGATAAAATTCCATGCTGTCAAATCGGCTAAATTGATTAATCGATGCTATTTATAAAGCCATTGAGAACAATGAAATTTTTGCCCATATTTTCATGCATCATAAATGGTAAAAAGGCAAAATCAAAGACACAGAGATACACTCTTTCGTAATGAGCATTTTAAGCGTGCCGTTTAGCTGACTGAAATTGGACACAGAAACTGCAAATGGTTGAAACAACCAGACAGACATAAAACACAAGAATACGTAGAATCATTTCATGTTAGCCCGCGTCATTTATGAGCGAGCGCTCAGCGTACACATGGTTCACCTCAAAGCACACAAAACCAAAATCGAATGTGAACAACTAAGTTCGCATACGCCATTAAAGCATTGGCATTGGCATATTAGCACTTTTCTACCACTGTTAATCACTTTATTTCGTTTTTTCAATAAATGTCATGATTTTAATTTAGAACACTTTAAATATTGCGGTGGCTTAGCTAGGAAGAAGAGGTGCGCGCGAGCGCGCATACACGCTTGCGGTCAGTCGACAGGCCATCAGATTGTTGCAATGCAATTAAGAAATTTAGTTAGCATCTAATCAATTTAAATAGTCACAGACACACCGAGTGAGTGATAGATGCAGGGAGATAGATAGACAGAGGCACTCATATTGAATGCCATTATCTATCGTAATCATCGAAATGAATTTACGGTCAATATGCACTTTCTCACTCAAACCGATTTCATTTACATGAATGCCGCACCGCCGTCGCCGTTGCCGCCGCGCTTGCCTAGTTTTTAT